TCCCCTGCCGCGTTTCGCGTCGAAAATGCTGTTTTAACCAGATAAATAAGACCACAAAGCATACAGAATAAGTATCGCAAAAATCATTTAACGTACACATACTTGTTTCCAAGACCATTTACATTGATAATTACTCCGAAAATTGCACATTTACGCGCAAAATGCGGCAGGGGTCAAAATGATCCCTTCCGCGGTTCTAGGTATACGAAAATGTCAGAGGTTCTAGTGTTAAATTGCCGAGTCTTACAACAAAGGTTATGCTAGGGGCGCAAACTTTTCTTACTGAAACACTTGCTGGGGTTAATTTTTGTGTGGTCTCCCAATGTGTCATTTCATGAGAATGTTCAGTCAAGTTTCTGCTCTTAGTTTCAACAAAACTGAATGTCATTAAATTCAAGACAACAAATATGTAGCTACTAATCATGAGTATTGTCTAGCATGTGAACTGAACACTTAAAGATGAAAAGTTGCACACTTGTTTTACCAGTTTCTTACCCATCAAAATGCAACAGCCTCAGTGACACGATGGATGCCTTTTCATAGGTGGGCGTTGGTTTTCTCTGTCCTGATCACCTTGACTGCGCTGCTTCACGCCATTGCTCTGCAGCTGGAACTAGCTGCTTCTAAGCGTGAGGTGATAGATCTCATCAAGTATCACCAGCGGGTCAAAGACTTGTCTCGGCGCTTCGAGACGATTTACGCAACTCATCTGATGTACCTGCTTGCCAGCAGCTTTTTGGTGCCTATAACATTGACCATCAAGGTACAGTAACAAATAGTAGCGAAGGTAGCGAATAGTACCGAGACTATGAGACTTAACTGAACACAACAGTTGCAATTTCCTACTGGCATTGGAAAAATCAAAAGTGCCCCAAGAACAACTTTAAAATTTTTAAAGTATTCTCACCTATCCACCCACTGTGAAAAATAGTCGATAGGTTGACACAAAAATTTTCCTTGACGCAAGTTGTAAAATTACCATTTGTAATCGTAAAAATACATGCAGTACGTATCGACTTCGAATCAATTGGCGAGTAAAAAATGTGCTCGTGCTCTCGTACATGTACAACTTAACTTATGATTCGAGTTTACAGAAATTTTGTAAATTTACGACGATATTTTTTATGCACTGTCTCAATACATTCTCGCCCTCTCAGGAGTCGCGTCGTTCGGTTCGGCTGTTCTCTGCTGGCACGGCTCTGAGATAGACTGGGCCCCCATTTTTAAAAAAAATTGGAACGGCGTGAAATTTGAAAGAGCATTAAAAATGACGAATTTTGGTGCAAACGCGAACGTCGTGCGATGTCGGGAAGTGATCGCACCTTGCGGTCAAAGATTTCGGCCCGATTGGGGGTCCAAATGTGTGGCGGCGCTCGGGCGGCGCTCGGGAGGCGACGCGTTGAGCTAGCTGAGCGATATTTACCATTAGTGTTCTCTAGGATGTGCTCTTTCCAACGGTGTGTCACCGAACTTCGGGCGACATGTCGTTCGCCCTACAGATCGACGGACGTTAGCGCGTATCTAAAAGAAGGTCGACGTCTGCGATTTCAAAGGTTGCACTCTCTAAAAGTCACATTGGCCTTGTAGCGACCCTGTGCAAAATCTGGGCGCTACCAGACAGCGCTTTCCCGGCCCGGATCACATTTGAAGTTGGGTACTCGAAACGGCCGCGAGAGAGGCCACCACGCTGATCCCCAGCTGCACGCGACTGGCGTGCTTTAGGAACGACGGGGCAAGGGTCAGGTGAGACCCTATGAACCCTACTTCTCACTAGCCAAGGCGAATCCAGTGTCTGAGCATGAACCGCGTCCTCTGCAGGGGCGTAAGTATCGTGACAGCCTAAGTAGTAATGCTGTCCCCTCCCAGGTCAGGTCCCCTGGTCCCTCCCCCTCCCCCAATAAATGGGCTCTTAATTACCCTCCCCCTCCGGTCAACCCTTCTATCTCTCCCCTCCGGTCAACCTCCCCTCTATCTCTCCCCTCCGGTCACCTTCCCCCCTACGATCAACCCCAGGTCAACGCGACCCTCCCTCTTCCTTCCCCCGTTCTGCATCGGCACTTGGCCGTGTGGGCTGCATTAGGGGAAGGCAACGGAAAGGGAGAAAGGAAAAAAGGTAGAGGAAAGGGTAAAAAAAGAGTGCCCCCGCGCCAGCGGAGAAGAGCTGAACCACATGGCACGAGGCTCTGAGAGGGGGCACGGGGCACGTATAATTAAATCAAACTGATTCACTAATCATTGTAAGAGAGCGACAAAATTAGGGCAACTGATCTCGCTCTCTCTCTCAGGGGTGAGATTGATCGATCACTCCCTACCCCTTGTTAACATCAGAAAAGAACGATTTTCTGGCATCATTACCTTAAAATGGACGGATTTTCTGATCATCATCATTATGTTCATGGTGGTTTTGAGTCGTGCTGAATACAAATTTACCTCGACGCTGCTTTGGGTCAAGTTGTTAAGGGGGCAGACCTGTGCATCGACTTAGGATGGAAGTACTTAAAAAAACACACATAGCTGAAATACAAAAAAACAAACAAAATAACACGTAACCCGCTAGGGACATCCTTTAAGAGTAACTGGCAATTTTTTTGACAGTCACACACCCCACCGTTGCGCTACAATCGTGCACACCGAAAATGTCCTCTTACACCTCTTACGTCTCTGTGTTTATCTCATCTAATATACCCTTTGTTTCCTTTCAAGGGCATTACGAGTAAATTCGAGCCAATAATCCTTACTGCAGGATCTTTGCTATGTGGGGTGTTCTTGCCACTCTGCTATAGGAGCCAGGAACTCATCGACGCTAGTTGGTGCTTTCGCGAAGCTTCTTACCACTGCGTTCTCAAAGTGAGGTGACCAATAACTAAGCAATCCGGTAAAACTTAAAACGAGAAGAATGAGGGGAACAATCAAAACGGAAATCACTATGCTGTAGCATTAGTGACTTCTGTTTTCTTGTTCCCTCTGGGCTGTGTGTCTGTCCGCACTATAACTCGAAAACGGATTGAGCTAGCGACCTGAGATTTTCAGGGTCGTTTTGTACTATAGAAAGACAGGTCGAGTTCGCAGATGAGCATTCTAGCTCAAAAACTGGTAATTGTCTACTTCAGTGACTCCTCGCCCTGGAGTCACTCAAGTATACCATCGGAAAGGTATTTTTCAGTAGAATCCTGAACAGTATTTATATATTGGCGCTCAAATCTGGTTTTCCTCAAAATTAAATAAATATGCGTCGCCGCTAACCTTCAGGTGCACTTTGAAGACGGCAGAATAACTTACGTTTTCGGCTAGTCCTGACGTTGATCGCTCCGGCTGGGGTTTTTAAATCATTGCTCCTGCATCAAAGACTACGCCTGATTCATAATATCAGGCTTTCTTTTTCTAGCGTTGCTTAGATCACAGTTTTCACACTTCTCCAAAAATGCCTTCTGCTTGGGTGGAGAGCGGGCCTCACTGGGCTAGCCAGTGGGCTCGTGGAGGCATGTCTCCTCGCGATTCTCCCTGGGGGGGGTGGGCAGGGGCTGACCAGAGTACTTAATGCATGGCAGTGCACTGTTCCCGCTTCTGCTAGACTCCAAACGCGTAGGCCCTGGAGGGCCCGTTAGGCATGCGCCCCATTTCTGCTTATTGCTTTGCTCGCTTTGCTGTATCATGCCTTTTGCTCGCTCATTATGCTCGGTGGGGGGGGACTTGTTTTCAGGTACACACGATTTTGTTGCAGCATGTTTATTCCCTCACAGCCCTAACTCGGCGGCCACCGCCAGGTCTGCGGCCAGGTCCGCCTCCTGACCTAAGAACTCCAGGCATTCGGCCTGCGCGGCTTCCGTCGCCCAGGTGTCTTCCTTCGCCACCCAGTAGGCCTCGACCTGGGCGGCGGTGTTGGCCTTCTCCAGCTCTTCTTGCGCGCGGTACTCCAGGTGGGCCTTCCACTCGGCGTGCGACGCGCGGCGGCAGGCCTGGCATATAGGATCCCTGGGTTCTCGAAGCACGCACAGTCCCAGGGCAGGAGGCACGGCGGCCCGCAAGGGGACAAGGGCTCGTTACGGGGAGGCGCTGTAAAGGACATTGGTTAGTGGCGGTTTCCTTGCATATTGCTAATGTTCAGGGCATTGAGTTACTTACAGGACGACGGTGAGGATGAGGAGACAGACATGGCCAAGCCTGGCCTCCCTGGCTGGGTTGGGGTGCAGAGGAACGAGCTCATTGCGCCCACCCCGCTGTCATCCTGGGGCTGGCGCGTGCGCCCCGGGCTGGGGGTGCTCCAGACCTCGGACGGCCCGGAGCTGCTGCGGCCGGAGGTTGCTGGCGAGGCGGCTGCAGTGGTGAGGCTGCCCCCCTCGGACGACTGGCTGGGGCTACCGATGCAGCCTTGGTCCGGGCTGGAGCCCGGGGAGGGCGGGCACGGGAGGGGGCTGGGCGCCACAGCAACGCTGTCCCACGGCGCATCGGCGTCGACCACCCAATCGGCATAGTCGCGGTCGTACACGGCCAAGGGCACGTAGTCCGGATCCTCCCAGAGGTGGAAGCTGGGCCCTGTATGTCAACAATGGATGAGCACGATGGTCGGGAGCAACAGCGCGAGCGGGACAGGCAACTTACCGATCCAGACCACGGCCTGGCCGGTGGACACTCGGTGCCACAAGGTAGCGGACATGGTGGTGCAGCGGCGGTACAGGTGGAGCTTGACGCCGGCGCGGTGGGATGCACGGAATGGACCGAGCCGAGCTGCGCGCCGCCTCTTATGCTGCTGGCCGGCGGCCCCCGCCGCCCCCCCTCCCCTCCCCGTGCCTGACGGGAGCGTCGGCTGCTGTTGTGTTGACTGGGCAATGACAACACGGGTTTGATGGGGACTTTATTGAGATTGCTAATATTGATACGTTACATTCTTAGCCCTCGGCGGGGGGGGCTCCCCTCCCCGTCACTGCCGATGCTTGCGCTTCTTACACGCCCTGTTGTTCGCAGGCTGGTGCGGGGCCGAAGACACCGTGGGGCCTGTGGCGGTCCAATGTTTTCCGCCTGGGACGGGCGCAGCGGCGACGGGGCTGGACCGATTGGCTCGGAGGGGCTGAGGGCCGGCATCAGGGCCAGCTCCAGGAAGAAGGCGTCGAACGCGGCGGGAGCGAGCAGGCGACCCTGGCGCACGCCGGCTGGCTCCAGTGCCCGGAAGGCGCGGGGCTCTGCGCATAGAAGGGTGTATTGGTACGGTGCGGGGCGGCCAGGGCGGAGGTAGGGCTTACCTTCTGCGTTGAGACCCAGGTCCTCGTCGGGGTCGGCTGGGCGCTACGGTTGGTCGGGGCCGTCGCGGACCTCCAAGATCCCGCCTAGGTCTTGCAGCCCGGGCTCGATGCCGCCGGCTGAAACGCCAATGCACTGGATGAGCACGGAGCGGACCGGGAGAGGGATCTTCCCGCCCCCCCTTCTACTTACTCAGGTGGTGGGTCGCCGCGGTGCCGGGCACCATCCTCCACTGTCGGTTCATGGTGAATGACCGGGCCCCGGGCGACACCGCCTTTAATACTGTGCGCTGGGAGGGACGGGGCGCGGGGGGGTGTTGCTGCGTTCGAATACTGCTGTGCTGTTTGTTGCAGGGACCGGCTGTGCTGACGCGGGGCGGCGCCCCCCCCCCCTCCCCTCCCCCCTGTCAGACGCGCAACTGGAGACCGCGGGAAGGGCTCCGCGCGGCGGTCGGCCGCGGGCACGGTCGCGGTGGTTGACTGTCGGTTTGTGATGACGCCCCCGGGCCGGGCTGGCTGAGCTGCCTGGCTATAAGGCTGGGCCGGGCGCTGGGTCGGTCACTCGGCTGGCGCTGGCTGGCCGGGCGGGTCGGCTCGGTTCTTGTCCGCTCACGGTGCCCTGGCTTGGGGGGTGTCAGGTGTGTTATTGGGCCCGCGGGGTTGGGGCGGCTTATGTTGACGTGTACTCATCCTTTTTAGCAGATGATACATTATACACAACTGAAATTAATAATACTTTACTTAACTACCCTGGGTAAAAAAAACCATGGGGCTGTCCATGAGCCATGGACATAAATTTAACCATGGATTTTTCTGACCATAGATTTATGGAACCAGTAAACCATGAAAACAACAGTTGACCATGAGTACATAGTGGATGGATTGCATGGCCATAGTTAATGTGCGCCATGGCAAGGGATGGCCATGAGAATTGGCTTTCATGG